GGAAATCCAGTCTTTGGAGGCCTAGCGGCCCGTCTCATGTTAGTATTCGGAATCAGCACACTCGATTACCTATTGTTCGCTAAGTTTTAAGCTAGAAGCGATTTATCACTTGGTGTCCTTTCCTCGTAAATGTCTCATTTTCATTTTCCGACTGATAATGACAGAATGACAGACAGAAGATTATCTGAAAGACAAACAAAAAAAAATGAACCGTCTATTTCTTTTGTGAAAATTACTAGACATGTTGTAAAGAGTATAAAAAATTATGACAAGTTCTTAGTTTGATTTCCGGTTCGTTTACTATTGAAAAAATGTTCGAACTATAGATATAGTTTAGACAACCGTAGGTTTCATAGTTTTTGAGATCAACAAGTGCATCACTCACTGTTTGTGTATTGGAACAACGACGTGTTAAGTTAACATGTGTACGGTCGTAGTAACTACCGTAGTAAAATCTCTATGAATTTGTTGACAGGAGCCGTGACATATCCTACCAGTACTCTGCTATGATTTTTCTTTAATGTCTTAGAATCCTAACAAAATCCTACAGAAATATTTGATGATTTCAATTGCCTACACACATCTTTGCACCTTTATACATGGTAAACGTCAAGGGAAAAAAGTACTCTTTCATCTTTGGCAAACGTACTGAAACTAATCGTCTCTGTAATTATAATTGTGATTCACAGTGAAAAGTTAGTCTATTCTTTTTGCCATTTGTGGCATTTTCTTTTTATTAAGTAGATGAACTATAAAAAATGCACATTATTTATACACTTAATGTACCAAACGATACGTATAGAGTAAAGATAGCAAATAGATATTAAACAGAAACACTAATTAAATAATAAATGAGTTACTCACATTTTCAAAGAGTACAGATATGTTCATGTCTATCTGCTGATAAAATGTCAGCAACACACTGAAACGCAAGTAGTGGTTAAAGTTTCTAGAGGAAAGTGATGTATTTGAACAACACTATTACTGTGAAATATTCGATCATAATAAGTACAAATAAATTCTGATCCACTATTGATTGTTTCATGGAACTGTTAAAGTAAATCTTCATTGTGAGAAATAGTTCTCTTTGAGCTTTTTTTGGACGTGTTTCTAACACGTGCTTCTAAAATCGATATACTATTATTGTCTAGCACATCATTTTACATGGACTGATCATTTTTTCAATAATCTTTCTATTTCTATTGAATGCGATATGAATCTATATCTTTGCGATATGATTGTTGCATTTGTATTCGACTTGCATCGTACTCGTCCTCCCTATTCCTCCTTAATTTCTCTTTTTTAGAAAAACCTCAGTACGAAGCCAGGTATTAGATGATGTTGTATCGTTATGATTATTATTATTTCTACCATCTTCTTATACTTTTAAATAGTTTCGTTTATTTTGTTTTTCTGATTTGTTTTTCTGCTTTTCTTCCGACTTTTTCCTAGTCATATTTAAGAGCTAAATAGGTTACGTTTGATTTAGATTTTTTCTATTGTTCATATGTAATGCTCTTATTGATATTAGAAAAATTAAATAATCCATTTAAAGAAAATTCGTCACTTTTTGAATTTTTACCCAGCCCTGTTTTCGCCGATAGAAATAAAACATAACATAACAGAACTAACTTAAAAATCTGTCTAATCGACGTATACTTCTATAACGTTAATACTCAGAAAGTTACATTATAAAAAAATACACATTCATCTCCCTATAGCCCACAAAAACAGACGTATTTGTCAGAGCTGATCTTTTTAACACGTCTGTTGAATATTCACTGAAACTGGAATTTATTTTACACTAAGGTAGGATATCACAAAAAAGCACCAAAAAGACTTGTGGCATCCGAAGACACTCCTGATAACCTAAACTAAAAAGTTTCTAAGAAGAACCGCTTCTATAACACATACATTGTGAGAGAAAACATATGTGTGATACATTCTAAGAGAAAGAGTAGATCTAAACATAAAAATTATTGAAAGCCTAGATGATATCTTAACATAGATTTAAATATGGATAAAGTAGACTAACATGCTAAAACTGAAGGAAGTTCATCCCATTCCTTTGAGCCGCGTAGAATGAAAGAGTCGGATGCATATTTTAGCTTGAGACGAGGTATGAAAACGCTATTATTATGACCTAATCGAGAACTTTGACGCGTAGTTAGCAGTGAGATCAAGTCAAAAGATGAGAGAGAAGTTTGTTTTATAGAATATTTGATGACAATATAGAAGACGATAGTAAAGACGCCTATTAAAAAGTGATTGAATTCTAAATTTTCTCAGCAAATAAGAACTATTAAAGTCTTGTGAAATAATTTTTCTAGCAAGGCGCTGAATTTTGTTCAGAATATTAAGATGAGAAGTAAAGGTTGAATCATAGATAACACAAGCATATTCTAGCACTGGTCTTACGCAAGTTTTATACAGATGACAATGTAAGAATGAGGGAGAGTCTCGAAAAACTCTCGAAATAGAGCCTAACATTTGCCGAGATTTTATTGAAACATATCCAATGTGAGATTTCCACGTTAAATTATGTAAGATAATAACACCAAATAGGTTGAGAGATGAAACTCGCTTAATATTAATGCTTTTTATTAGAATTTTGTAGAGTTAGAAAATAAAATCCATTGACATTTGTTTTTGCTTAATTTTACCTCATTTATATTACATCAAAGAAGAAGCTTATTGATATATTTTTGTTCTTCGAATATATTTGTGACGCAAAAGACATCAGCAGCAAAGAGACAAGAAAGAAGCGAAGATTTAAGCGACGGCGAAAGATCATTAATGAATATAATTTATAAAATCAGGCCTAAAATACTAACCTGTGGTATTATACCAGACGTCACACGAACCAAAGAAGAAGAAGATGAATCAACGGAAACTTTTTGTGTACGATTAGACAGATAAGACGAGAACCATTTAAGAAGAATTCCTAATATCCCTGCTTTAGACAGCTTTTGAAGAAGAATATGATGTAGCACGGTGTCAAAAGTCTTTTATAGTACTTGATTTCTCTTACTGAAATTCGAATTGTTTGTCCAATTTTTTATTATACCATGTGATGAAGGTAGTTGTATTGGATTAATGACGTTTGAACAATTTTACATGTATATTGTCATTTACCATATTCGATAAATATTTGTCGACTGTCATAAAATAACGTCTTTTCAAATTAATCTTTTAACGCTCCGCTATAATACAGTTCAAATGTTATATCTTAGTTGTTGTATGTGTTACTCTATTCAGATAAACTAACAATACGTTTGACTCTGCTATATAGTTCAAATTACCTTCTTAATAAATTAAGTATATCAGAGAATATCATGATTAATCAGTTATAATGATTAAACATCAAATTGGAACATCATCGTTCCGTTTTACTAAACATAAATTTTGATTTTTGAAATTTTGTATACTCTTTTTTTTTATCGAACTATTCTTCGGTGCTTAATCTTAAGAATAAACGTATCAGACACACGACAAAATTTTCTATTTCAATGAAATGAAAAGTTATCAATATAAAAGCAATGATTTTGAAGATTTTTCTTTTGATATTATTCATTTTTGTACAATGATGTATTGATAAATGAATATTAAACACTATTCAATAGATAATAAAATTGAGAGAAAGAGCATTTTTATTAAATAGTATTAACAAAAAAAAACAACAACAATATGAAGAGTCGTCTGTGTGTGTGTGTGTGTGTGAATGTATTTGTTATGTATATCGTATTAACATGTCGCTTATTTTCTTTTGAAAGAGAAATCAACAAGAATAAAAGAAAAACACAAAAGCAAAAACAGAAGAAAAAAAAAATGTAAAAAATAAAATTGTGAAAATTATTTTGTCATAAATCGGTGTTATATTTTCTATTTTCTATATTCGTGTTTTTCGTTAAAAAAAAACAACTAAGACATAAAAACAAAACTTATAGATTAAAAAGATAAAAGAGAGAAAATGAAATTAATTCTAATAGTTTTCTATTTTTAGATTGGATTATTTGTTCGTGAGGAATTTCGATGCATTGTTTGTACCATTAAACTAATATAAGATGTCAATAGATCATCCATTTTATAACCCTAATACAAAATATAGAATATTATGTTCAGTTATCTTACAAAGTATCGTACTTACTAAAGGTGATTCACACAATAATCTCGTACCACGTACAATATCACCAACCGTCTACAAAATAAAATAAAAAAATAATATTTAAAAATAAGTTTATGTTTTTAAATTGCTTACAAAACTAAAATAAGTAGTTCCACTTGACCAATTTGATATGCTTGTAAATGAATAAGTCATTAAAAGATCTTTTGTTTTTGGATGAATTAAATTGACACCATTTTTATTTATGGCAATAAGTAACTGTTCAGGATATGTTGGATCAGATGTTTGCTATAAACAAAAAAAACATTTTAACAATTAGAAAAATAATTATTATAAAATTTATCATACTTTAATTTCGAAAAATGCTGAACCAAATGTTGACCATTGATAAATAATTTTTAAAAATTTAATTTTAGCATCTTCAGCCGATATTCCACGAGAAGATTGATGAGCAGTCATTATACGCTAAAATAAATATAATAATGTTTTGTATAACTTAGACATCATTAAATAATTAAAAGAAAATTAAAAATCTCATATTTTACCTTTTTCCAATCAGCGTAGGGTAATCGATCAACAAGATCGGCTGGTAAAAAATCTTTGAGTCTAAAAAATGAAAATAAAAATAAAGACATAAAATAATTTTATTTTTCATCTTCTTACTGTATATTATCGAATTGAGCAAGACTATCGACAAAACGAACACGATAGATATAAGCCGCCAATTGTATAGCTTCTTCAACTGAACATTTATGATATCCACGAATCAATTTTGGTAATTCCTATGAATAAAAATGATTTATTTAATTTAAATTTTTTTCTTAATTAATAATTTCTACCTGATGATAGTGGAATATAATATCAGCCATTCTATCTTGTCCGGGTACTGTATTTGTCCATAGTTTTCTCATAAAAAATATTTGATAAGTATATTTTGGAGGATCTAAATATATTAAAAACAAAATAATAGAATAATAGCCGATATGTTGTTATTTTTGTTTTGTTTTACCTTCACGTTGTTTTGTTTTTTTAATCCATTCCTAAATTTAAAATTAATTTTAAAAAAAATAGACTATCAAATAGTCAAAATAAATATTTTATTGCTTACTGTTAAATGTCGAACAAAATCGAAAAAGAAATCTCCATCTGGTACACTAATAACTTTATCTAATATTTTAACAAATAAACTAAATCCTTCACTGCCTTGAAGTTTTAAACGATCGGCAATATTTCGACAAAAATCTTTTGCACGTGTACTAGAATCAACTTCAAATGCTTCAGATGTATCATCGGGAAAATAGACTTTATGATAAATTTGTGTTGTCATATGTTGAATAGCTTCAACTTCAACTTGATGTGGTGGATGTTTACGTTGTCCATTTCTATAAAAATAAAAATAAAATAAAATTTAATTAATAAAGAAGAAGAAAAATAATAATAATAATAATATTAATTTACTTTAATGTACGTTGTAATCTTGCAAAACAATCAGCTGCTAATTGATGTTTTCTTGAACGTAAAAATAAGTTGACTTCTTTTAATAATAATGCACTTGGTGCAAAACAACCTGTTCCTAACCATATTAATTCCCAACCATGTGATTCACTTGTTTGATTTCCATTATCAGTTAATTGTTTTATTATTTGACAATAAATTTCATCTTTTAAAATTTCCTAAATAGAAATAGTTTACTTTATTTATTTATCTATATTTTTTTTATTATGATAGAATGTTGATTAACATACATGTTTTAAAGCTGGATCAAATATAGCATCCGTTAATTCATTTGTTGCTCGTCTTCTAATAATTCCTGTTTGATAATCGCCCATATATTTTAATATATTCATAAAACAAGTACATGCTTCTTCACTTAAATCTTGTTTATCTTGTAATTTTTTTAATAATGGTTGTCTTAGTGGTTCCTTTTGAAATGCCCATAATTTATCACCATTATTACCTCCACGACGAGAAAATGTATTTGACCATGTTCGTTTTGGTGATAAACGAAAATTTAATTCAGCATATTTTTCTAATGTATAACCATGTTCAACATGAAAATCTGTTCCATAATTATTATTTGTTAATAAATTTTCATTTTGTTGTTGTTGATTTGTATCTGTCCATTGTAAAGCAAATGTTTGTAAAATATCTTGTGGTGGTTTTGACATTGTTGGTAATACATAAACACACTCTCTAGGAAATTCACCGGTTAAACCTGTACGTTCATTATAGCCGAATAACCAATGTGAAGATTTAGTAGTGGTTGTTGTTCCAAGTTGATGATTATCATTGTTAACTGTAGATATATTAAGATCATCTTGTAATGTTATTAAATCACCACGATGAATAGATAAACCTTGAGCACGTTCTAAAAAACAAAAATAATCAAATAGTATCGAATTAAAATAGAATAAAATAATTTTTATTAATAAATATTATTAGAATATGATATAAAAATAATAAATTAAAATGTAAAAATACACTTCTTTTTACCTGTTGGTTCATAGTCTTGTATAACAACAAGAAATTTTGATTTTCTTTTTAAACCTTCTAGAAAATTAATAACTAAATCTTTGATATCATCGGCATTATTCGATGTAAACGTATATTCATCATTCTTAATTGTTATTATTGTAAAAGAATTTCCTTGTTGTCTGCCTGTTTTACTACTTAATATTTGTGTTATTTCTGGAAATGATAATTCTAATAAAACTTGTTCTTGATCATCGATAACATAGACACCTGTCCAATTAACAGCAATAATAACTTCATTTTTTGGTAATGTTGGACCAGAAAATTTATATGCTTCATAAAAACGAGAAAATAACAATGGCCATTTAAATCTTGCATAATTTACAACATCTTCTTTTACACATATAGTTTGTATACGTTCTTTTGCATAATAATTTCGTTTATGGGCATTTATAATCAATTGTATCCACCTTTCTGTTGCTTTATTTTGACATAATTGATTATCTGGTATATACTGTGGTAATAATTCTTTTAATCTATCAACATGCATTTCTGTTCCATATTCAATATAATACTGTTGTGCAGCAATTATTGATAGATCATCATCTTTTTCACAACGATATTCACCAAATTTAATACCACGTACAACTTGTTGATATATTAAATTTGTTGCCACATTATCTTCACTAGGATTATGCCATGGAGCAAATATTTCTTTACGAAAAAATAGACGCCATGGTGCAATTTTTTCTAATGTACCTTGTTCTTTTGCATATTGTTCACATTGAGATATTGCATCCATTACATGATCACCACCGCTACCCAATGATGATACTTTATCAAATAAAGCTATATACAATGAAAAACCAAATTTATCTTGTAAATTAATTTTTTCTGCTAATAAATCACATAATTCTTTAGCTGTTGTAGCTGAATCGGCTTTTAATGCTTTTGAACTACCATCCATGAATGTTATTTGTAGTAATAGTGGTTCTTTATGTTTAGTAGCCTAGAAGAAATAAATCAAAATAATCATATAAAGTTAAATTATATTAAAAATAAAATATAATTACTTGTAATTCTAGCCAAGATGGTGGTTGTGTTCTTAAACCATTCATCATTGTACGTGATAGACGTTCATAACAATAACGTGGAAAACCATTTGGTCCATTGAGAATAAAATTTTGAAGATATTTAATTAATTTAGATGATGGTGCAAAACATCCAACACATAATGATAATAATATCCATCCTCGAGCAACACTTTGTGGAGTTGGATTATTTGTTAATTGTTTACATATTTGACAATAAATTTCATCTCGAACTTCTTGTACATGTATTCCAATTCCAATAATAAAATGTAATTTTTCTAAATTTGATGTTGGTCGATCTTCAAGAAATGGATTCATTCCATTCATTTTCATTTGTTGTGTACTTAATAAATCTAAATCTTTTAGACGTGTAATGGCATTATCATTAGATAATTTTGATTTTCGTTTTAATGTCATATTAACTAATTTTTGTTTAACACTACGAGATGCTTTACTGTTATTAATATTTAACATCGAATTTGAATTATTATTATTACCATTACCATTACTTCCATTTGTCGTAGATAAACTTGTTGTAGGAAGATTATTTGGATGATTATCAATTGATTCACTTAATTTTTGTGCTTCTTCTAAATCTTTTTTATTAAATTTACGTCCTAATGTTGAATGAATTTTAGTCATGACAGATTGTTTTTGATGAGTAGTTGATGGTGTACGAATATCAGGAAGGTCACACATAAAACGAAGAATTGTTATCCATATAGCTAAAGCAGCTAATTGATCTCGTTCTGATTTCAATGCAAGTAATGGTTGTTTAAGTGCTTTTTTTGTAAATGATGGTGTTGCATTGCCTTGAAAATATGTTGATGCAAATTTGGCAAATGTATACTCTTTTAAATCTTCGTCTTGATCGGGTAATGGTAATGCTTTATGAATTAATTCAACATTACCAACTGATGGTAAATTACCCAAAGTTGATTGCATACCACCAGTATTTGAACGCGATTGATTTTGATGTGAATTAATACCACCGGTTGTTGTACGTTCATCGCCACCAGGAAACATTGTATTAAATAGTTCATTATCATCATAACTTTTACGTTCCATTAACATACGTTTTTCTTTAGCACGTTGTTGTTCCATTCGCTCTTGTTCATGAATTTCCCGTTCTAATTGATTTAAACGTTCCTAAAATAGAAAACAAACATAAGTTGTTGTTTTTTTCTATTCACTAACTACTTATAGGAAAGAGCTGCGAAAATATTTATCGTTCGTTATTCCAGCATATGGCATGGATAAATGAAATACATACACGATACTTTTTCTCTGCTTCTTCTTTCGCTCTTTTTGCACCCAGTGTTGGTATTAATCTTTTTTCTTCTTCATAACGTTCTTGTTCCACTTCTTTATATTTTTTTTGTTCAATTTTCAATCGTCTCATTTGTTTTTGTGCAATATGTCGTCTAACTTCTGCTTGTAATATAATAATAGCATTCAATTTTCTACTATAATTTTGTCGTGCAACATAGCCACGACAATATCGTTGCAAGTTTAATATACGATTTTTTAATGCCGTATATCGATGTGTTAATAAACGTGTATGATGTAATGCTTGTAAACGCATAAAACCATTTCTTATTATTGTATAACGTTTTGTTTGTTGATATGCTCTCCATTGTGATTGTATAATAAATGCACTTTGACGCATGGCTAAAAATTTTCGTCTAACTATCCATCGTCTTATCGAATTTTGTAATATAAGAATTTTACGTGACATAACTTGTTCACGAGCTTGCTCAAGATAGACATCATGAGCATCCTGGAAAAAAGAGACAATATGATAAAAAAATAACAATTAGTTAATAAATAGATGTTTCACAATTCTACTTTTAGAAAAATCTTCGTTTTTCCAATTTGATAATCTTTGTTCGTTAGTGCTGTTTTACATATTTTATCTGCAGCTTGTTTACAATCGCCTTCACGATGTGATGGACCGATACCCGGTGCTAATAATCGATAACGATCAACAAAATCACGAAATAAATGTCGTATAGGATAGCCTTTCCTTCGAATACTTATTGTTTCCATCATGCCAGAATAGCGCAGTTGACGATGAACGAGTGAACGATCAAAATTCTTAGATAAAAAGGAAGAAAAAAAAAACAAGATAAAAAGAATTAAAAATTCAAATAAAACATGTTTAAACGACCTACATTTGGTGCTTTATATTCATTTGGTTTGATACAACGAACAAAAAATGGTTGACACGCTGCCAATATTGTCATTAATGAATCAAGTGATTTTTTAAATTGTGTACCCAAGGATGGAGCTCGTTTTCGCGTTTCTGTTCCAATCTGATATTCATTCAGAAATAAATTTCTTAAAAATTTACTCTTTGTATCTTGCAATAATTTCATTAGATCTTGACTAAATGTATCGCGATTTTTCTCGAGAAAATCTAGAAATAATATCAAATTGATATTATTGACAACATGTAAGATATAATCAAAGAATACATACTTTCACAATCATAATATACATGTCCGGCAAAATGTTTAATACCAAAATTGATACCATTCTCATTTTTTCTACTAACAAAATTTTCATTTTTCCCATGATTAGCATGTAATTTATCACATAAAGATTTATCAGTGCCCTCAAATAAAAAAAAAAGATAAAATTAAATGAATTATACAAAAAACTTATATTTTTTAACTTACTTTGGGAAATTTACTTTCTTCATCTATCAATGCTATTATGTTCATAGATTTTATTGCAATTAAATCTAATATTCGTTGATTATCTTCGAACGAGATATGTTTCCAGTCAATATGTTCATTATCGTATTCTTCCTATAAAATAAAATCAAAATTTAATAATAATTCATTGAAAAATGGAAAATTTTTATTTATACATACTTGTTCCAATTTGAATATATGATGAACAAAAAATTGTTGTAACTAAATATAACAAGAAAAGATTATAAAATAAATTCTAATAATAATTATGTTAAATATACTTACATTTTCATTAGCATAATTAATACATAATTGTTCAAAACTATTTCGTTGAAAATTTTCAAAACCAAATATATCTAATACACCAATAGATTTTCTATATGTTGAAGCTTCTTTTGGTTTATATATAGCACTATTTATTTTATCTACTATCCATATAAACATTTTACCATAAATTCCTTTTACAAATGCATCACTAAAAATAAGTAAAATAAAATAAAAGATAAAATAAATTTTACAAATAATTCAAATTTAGATACATACCGTACATCACATGCTTGTATTTGATTTAACGGTGTAACAACGGCTTCTCCATGAGCAAAAATTGTTCTTTTCAAAAGACCCTCACGTAAACCATTCTCATCTAACTTAAAATATCAAATAAAAATTCTTCATTTAAATTCAATTTATATAACGTTAAAATAGATCATACTTTAAGCAATTTAGACACAGTTCTTAAAACATTATTATTTCCAATTGCTGTTGTATCCAAATTTTGTGTGGTCGTAGCTAAAATGAATAAATAACAATATACAATATAACAATATTGTTGATTTATCTTATAACTATCCTACCTTGAAATTTTAGATTTCCCAAATGTAGTACAGCTGATAACAATCTCAAAATATCATGTAGTTCTTCATCATTAAACATTAACACTTTACATGCACTTTTAATTGTTGACCATTCTTTACCATCATCTCGACTATCGCAGTAAATGGTGCCCTAATAACACTTTTCATCATCGTACAAGTAAAATGTAAAAAAAGGAATAAAAAAAACAACAAAAACATACTTCGATCTAAAATTAAAAAAAAATTACAAAAAATGAGAATACTTTTTTTATTTGATGTGTATAAAAACACGAACCTGATTTAGATATATATAATCACTGGCTGCTGATAAATCGAGAGCTTGTTTTTCATCTTTTGACATACCGGCTAACATACAATAGAATACATGATAATTGCGTTCATCACGAGCCTGCAATAAAAAAAAGCAAAAGATGAACTGAAAAACATTCTAATATGAAATATTATTTTCGTTTTTTTTGCGATGCTTTGAATGAATATTCCATGCAAAGCTTATTATGAAATTAAAAAAGTGTTATAGATAAACGCATTTTTTTTTCTAAAAAAAACGTTAAAATAACGTATTGTTGTTTTTGTCTCTTTGTTCCTGTTTTATCTGTTTATCATGCATGAACAACAAATGATGCAAAAAAAACAACAACAAATAGCCAAAAAAAACAACGAACAAATTGTTCACGTTTTCATGCATTAGGAAAAATGAACGATCATGCACCATTTTATTTGCTCAGTATACAACTCATAGGTATTGTCCCTATCTTACCAAATTATTGTATCAAAAATAAATTCCACTAGAAAGAAGTTTAGAAGAAAATCATGATTGCTAATTCACAAAACTAATAAAATAACCCTTAATAATTATACAATAAAATATTGTCAAAAATACTACATACCTGTGATACAATTCGAGATTTTTCCAATAAATATTGTTCAATTTTAGCACCTTCAATCACACCACGTTTATCGAAGTGAATATCAATATACTTTCCAAATCGGCTACTATTATCGTTTCGTACTGTTTTTGCATTACCAAAAGCTTTAAACAAAAAAAAATGGGAAAAAACATAGTATCTGTAAGAAAGAAAAAGAAAAGTATTCACCTTCTAAAATTGGATTAGCATCTAATATTTGTTGTTCAATCCATGAATGTTGACCAGATGTAGCAGCCAAAAATTGTAAAATTAATTTTGTTGATTCAGTTTTACCACTTCCAGATTCACCGCTAAAATGGGTAAATACAATCTATAACAATCTTTGTTCAAACAACATTAAATCCCAATATTTGGATGGATACGGCTTCGAAGTAGTAGATTAAAAATAGAGAAGATGTATCAGGTTAAGTTAAAAACTCACCTTATAATAATACATTGATCATGTTGATAACGTTGCAAATTCATATAGGCATTATCTCCGATAGCGAAGATATGTGGTGGTAATTCACCAATTTTTCGATTACAATAACGATGCACATAATCAATATTATAAATATCAAGTGGTTTATATGGATTAACGGCGACTAATATAGATCCAGTATATGTCTACAAAACAGAACAAATTTCATACTACAAATTTTCCATATTCAGTTAGTATTTGTACTTACATAAATATTATCATTTTTATAGCGCATATGTAAATTGTGTAATACAGCGGACTCTTTTAAATCACCCAATAAAATCATATCGTCAACACCTTCAACTGAACTAACATGCATCGGTCGAAATTTAGTTTGAATGGGAAATTGCAACTCCTGGATTAAACATTTATAGAAACAAAACATTAACAAACAAATATTTTTTTTCTCACCTGTCCATTATCATCAACCAATATAATTTGTCCGGCTTGAGTAGCAACCACTTTAGCACCAATTTCAACATTAAATTCACCTCCATTTCGAAGATCGACCCAAACATGATCGCCCTTAACAAAATATAAACACAAAACATTGAGATTTTTGCATGAGTGTAAAAAATTTAATACAATTGATATAGTTCAAAAAAGCCTCTTTATATAGTTAAAATTGAGCAAGAAGAGCAAAATAATTGCATATCATGCAAAATTGTTAAAGTATCCGAACGATTGAACTACAGCAGCTAGATAAATTAACCTTTTCTTCAAATTTCTTTTGTAAATTGTTTAATTTGAGCACTAAGTTAATTTTATTTTGTTTTTCTTATCTAATTATTGATTTTTACGTGAGAAAAATTGAGTACAGTTTTTCTCTTATTAGAAGACAAATTATGTGAGATAAATAAAAGTGAGCACACGAAACATGTGCGTGATTAAAAAAATACCACAAAGAAGTACAAAATAACTTGTTTCTTTACACACGTAAATTAAGTATCAATGAATATTATACGACGTGACAAAAGAAGTTCCACTAATTCTTTACAGTAACCGTATGTACTTACGGTTCAAAACAAAAATGAGAGACAAAATGGTAGATAAAATGAGTTACTTTCTTTTTTTTAATTAATGAAGAGCGTATTGTAAGTTTTAATGATTCATACCATTGCCTATTCATTATGAAAACGTAGATCTTACATACCGATTCAGATATTGTTTAAGTGAAATATGTAGATGCATCAAAAATTTGCTTCAAAACGTTTTTCTTTGCCAGTTTTTAATCGTTTTCATTCGAAAGACGAGAGTTTTAACTCTAAGCTAAATTTAAAAATTGTGTTCAAACATAGTAACACAACAGACCGAAAATAAAGTATAATATACAATTAACACGAATGACAGAATCTTTTTGAATTTATTTCTCATCTTATTCAATCCATGATGCTTTTGGTTACCTCATCATTGTACCTTTCGTGCTTCTTACATCTCTGAGCTATGAGTCTGTTTTTTTCTTGCACATAAGTTAAGAGTAAATCAATTCAGAATACGGTAATACGATGTAATACACAGAACAGAAATGCTGTACTATAAACTATTCGCAAATTTCAAACTATTGACTAAACATTTTTCGAAAATATGATTAAAAAATAATATGCTCAAAGGGAGAAAATCAATTGTTGTGTAGAATTATTGGGACAATTGTGGGAGTATATAGTACGAATCACTGTAGTATTATTGAATTCATTAACTGATCAAACGAGAATAATCTTTCATCTATTTTTAGATCCCGTAAGAATATCACTATGAAACAATTGATTAATGTTTGAAGATAATAAAACATTCTGTTTTTGTCTCAAAAGAGCTCAAGTGGTCAATGATGCAACTCAGTTAATTTGATAAGGTTTACAATCAGAACATGAACTTTTTTTTTTTTTTATCAATAATACAACAGAATTGTAATTAATAGCTTATGACATAAAATTTTCTTTCTCTATAGAAAATAAAACATTCATTTACGATATATTGCGTGCTTAAAAGTGTTTATTCACTTTTCTTTTCAACAGTTATTAATTAGACTTCTTTTTCTAATTTTCATAAAGACAAAAAAAAATGTCGGATACAATTCTGTCATGGTTGTAAATTTAAAAATATAAATATATATACTACAGACACGCACATACAGGTCAATCGTCTATCCTTTCATATACTCAAGAAAACAAGATTGTTATATTTCTAGACTCTTATTAGACAAAACGATAAACTTTTTGTTATATTCATATGATTTTAGATAGAAGATAAACTCCATAGTTAAATGAATGTTAAAATAATTTCACTGTAAAATGACATTTGGAAAACATAAAATCGTTTACCTGAAGAAAATAACTCGCTACTGGCACTGTTCTATTCATAAATGACTTTTTAAACGACAATAATATCACGTTTTCATTTTACTTTCAAACATATGTATATCTTTTATTTTCTCTTCTCTTTCTATAGACAAAATGATTTTTTTGTCTCCATTCTAATTTCAATTAGATGTGATAATCTTTATTCATTTGTTAGAATTAATAAAATCAAATATGATCATCAATACTGTCATATTGAAAAAACAGAACATTATGATGATATTGTCCAATGGCTATTAATGGGTGGAGTAAAAATAAAAAAAAGACTGAATATACATTAAATATCATATCGTAACTCTATTTGATGACAAAATGTAAGGTCGTGCGTGCGTATAAACGGGTGTGTATGTATATACATATGCATGTATATATCGATGTTCAAGTACAATTACGTTGTTCATATTGATTTAGGCAACATGGGAGGTTTACACAAATAATGTCAACCATTCGATCGTCATCTCTTTGTGAATGTTTACTTCTCTAAATTTCTCGATTAAAACTTGAAAACAAAAAACTTCTGAGACAAATCAAATCTGGTTATAGTTTTAGATCTCAAAAATTTTTCATCGTTTCTAGATTAAAATACAACATTTATGAAAAACGACAAACAGACACTCTTTCTCCTCTCTTTCATTGAGTTAACATTGTTTGTGCATAATCCCCTACTTTTTTACTCTTCGATCTCTTATTTTTTTTTCTCTCCTAATATACACCCCTGTTCGCATGCATTTCATCTATCTCAAAATGTATATCAATTGTCATTCTTGACCTAACAAAAGCCATTGACCATCATCATCTTTTTTTTTTCTTTTTCTCTCCCTCTAAAAGAAAGTAATATTAACGATAGTCTCTTTCTTATAGTGAAGGAAATTCAAAAGTAATTTTTTTTCTTTTCTTTCATTTTGTTTTTTACCGATAATTATCTTAAAGAGTAAAAAAAAAGAAGAATAACTTCACATGTATTCTAGATCTGTTTAGCAGTATTTTGTTCTGTTTACTGTATAAATATATACTCATGCAAGCATCTTGTTCTTTCTTCTTCTTTTTCAAATATTGAACATGGGTCATATTAATCAATCAATTACAGTAAGCTTCAAAAAAAGAGAGAGAGAGAGAGAGAGAGAGAGAGAGAGAGAGAGAGAGAGAGAGAGAGAGAGAGAGAACAAGATATTCACCATCCGGTTTTTGAATGAGAGTGAATAACAACAATAACAACGACGATGTTCAAAAATGGGACACACATAACTGAGATGAATTGAGTTCTTTGCACTATGCATATATTCGTCTATCTATTTCAAGTAAGGTACAACAGGTAATCAAAAATGTTTGTGTCTGCGACCATATGTTAGTGGCATAGTCAGACTTTTGGTTTAGCAAATACAATTTCCCAAGTTATAAAAGTCAGTCAAGGGTGGCGCCTTTTTTTTAGCCAACGAATTTTAGCATCTCATTTTTACACATTTTCTGAACTAAATGATCTTTGAAATAATTAGGATCTAACCTTTACATAGGGTGATCCAGTACAGTATTCTTCAATGTATGGAGCCTCAAGGATGTCTTTTCTAAGTCTTATATAAAAAGCGGAAAATGTGTGTTTTTTATTTCTCCTTGAAATTTTTTTCTTTGGAATTTTTAATTAAAAAATATCTCACTGAAAAGCAAGTGAAACAAAGAGCTTTTATAGAGTGAGGATCTTGAATGTGCAACTTTCAAGATCTTGATTTCAGCGCTTCGAGTACGTCATCGAATTTTCTTGGAGTCCTAGAATTGATACCCGATAACTATTGGTAACCTCGGAAACGAGTGCACTATAGGTAATTAATCATTCAATCATACTGTGTCTTATGGCAATATTTGTTTTTAGTAAAAGGTTTTAAAAACTAACAAAAATCAAGTTTTCCGAACACAAGAGTTTTCCAGCTGTTTTCAAAAAACTGAAAATTCACTTAGGAAACACCAGAACAAGTTCAAAGCTTCAAGATGTCGATATTTAGACTATTTTACATTTTATTTATAAGAAATTACAAAAAAAGAATTTAGAGAACCCCTGGTTTTTCAAAAGAGTTTCTGGCAAGCTCTTGAACAAAAACATGATTTTTCAATTTGTTTAATCTTATAATCACATCTACCGAACAAAATTAACCATATTCTGTAGTTTTGAAGTTATTCTGGTGTTTCGTGACTGAATATTGAGTTTTTTAATATTAGGTGAAAACAGCTGGAAAACTCTAGTGTTCAGAACACTTGACTTCCGTTAGTTTTTAAAACCTTTTACTAAAAGCAAATATTGCCATAAAACACAGTATGGCTGAACTCGTTTCCGAGGTTACCAATAATAATCGGATATCAGTTCTAGGACTTCAAGGAAATTCGATAACATACCCGAACCGCTGAAATCAAGATCTTGCTTAACTCCAGTTTGAAGAGGACACTCTAGGATATCAGTCCATGGAAACATAATCAATTTAATCCTATTGGACGTTTCTGAGACACAGCCAGGTTTTTCAAACAACTCCTAGAAACCTGTTTTAAAAAAGCACTCTAAAAACATTTCTGCTTATGAAAATATGCCCTCAAGTCTCCACTTTCGAATGATCAAAACCGCAAGTCTCTATTTCATTCCTATCAAAAGTTATTCAAAAAACATCTACCAGTCGTATATTTTGAAATGGATAATAGTTGTTAGTTAATTTGTATGACGAGCTTTTAAAGAAGCTGTGGCGTAAATAATTAGTGTTACATGAAATGCTGCTTACTACGGCATCAACATTTCAACAATGGTACCGTTCTTCGTGAAATATTCCAAAAAAAGTTGCAAGATAAACTTTAACTGAATTAGACCATTTCCTGATGGATTTTAACGTTATTGGATGGAACTCGGGGTCTCCAGAAAACGCAAAGAAAAAAATTTCATAGAAATCTGGAGAAAACTACATCAGTTTCTTTTCCTATTTCTGATAAAAATTCTTTTTGTGTTGTCTATGCAAATGAAGCATTCTACGTCCCATCTGCGTTCATTTCTATAGGAAGGTAACAATTTTATGTACGGTTTTTTTATTCTATTAAACAAAACTTTATGTTATTTTAGCTTTCTTTCCATGAAACCAATCTTATTGTTAATTTCCTATCTCATTTTATTTTAGATGCATTTCTATATTTGTGCTGTATTTGGTTTCTTTTTTGTCGTCCAGTCTATTTTATCTGCACCTGTTGTTGTTTCAAAGTCAAATAACAATCAGAACAATGCTCTGGAAGGTATGTTTATGAAAAAGTTTACTACTATAAAACGCCGGTAAACGGGTCGGTTGAAATTATAACTCAAACCGGCGAAAACCTGGCGAAGTTTTGAAAATCGATTTCCAGAAAGAATTTTCCCCAGAAATGAAATAGTTTTAAGGGCACATGTGAGAGAACCTTCACAATAACAAGTCTATAATATGTAACCTTTAAACAAGTGATGAAAATAAAAATCTGTCTTGAGCACCGTCTTGTTTATTCTGACTGAAAAAGATGTGAAATTTTAGTGTTTTGACGAAAAACACGGTAAAAAAAGCAGATGTTTCAAAAGTTTCAACTGGTGAAATATCGGTCTCTATCGGCCCGGTTCCAGCTCTGATATAACTATATGGTACATCTCAGAGAGCTATAGCACACTAGCCATCCTCTCAGTATCGAGTTTGGCTATACAAAAATATTTAATTTCTGTTCAGAAGAACGATAAGTTAAACTGATGTGAATCGATTTATGTTGTTTTTATCAGCATTTTTCATTTAATACTATTAGTCTTAAAATTCAAATTTTTTTGTCTTTGATATTTTTTAGAACAAAACGTTTCAACAGGTCAAAAAGAAATTCGTTTTGGTGATGTTTCCGATGATACAAATGAAAAAACTGTGAATGAATTAGTTAATGAAAGTGCAGAAAAACCAACAGACGCTACTGTCACCACAACAACGAGTTCAACATCGCATACCCAATCAACAGCTTCAGAATCAATTATTAACTTATCGTCGACAACATCTACAACTACCGTTTCAACTATTCAAGAAGAAAATGATAAAAAGAAACGACGCGATACTCATTATGCTATTAACAATGATGATTCAGATAGTAGAGATGATGACAGAGAAAATGAGAATGAGAATTATGGTACATCACATAAATATTATCCTAGTCACTACGGTTATTCGGATATTAATAATGATGAATCTCAAGAAAATAGTAATAAACAACAAAATAATCACCATATCTTACATGCATTAATAAAAGAAACAGTAGAATCAAATCATGATAAAGTGAATAGTAAGTACAATGTTTGAGCGAAGAAAACATACTGTCGCATCATTCTAGAGTTGAAATCAGCTATGTAGTCCTAATTAGTGAGGTCGAAATTTTTGTTTCAAAAGTCATTATTGAACAAAAATCACTGACAAATATTGAACGTTCTCTGTTGTTCAGAGGTCAGTTTTTTCTGTTTGTTACTTGCAATCAGGTTTGGATACAATCAAAACAGACGAGGGAACGTTCCCAACTAATAAATGGCTTTCAGGCTGAAACCTAGTAGACTGTAGGTAGTCGAACATGCTGATTCCGAATATCAACATGAGATGTGCTGCTAGGCCTCCAGAGACTGGTTTTCTAGAAAACTAGTTTTCCAGAAACTTCAGAAAATCTTCAAAACTTTTTTTAATAAGTTGTGTTTTTAGCGCGAAATTCTGATTAAAATGAGACATCCCCCAGCTCTACACGACCTTTTTTTGCAAAGTTATAGAATCTACAAGAAGAGCCCTAATTTCCTTTTTCCTTTTTCTCTCTACATCTCTGAGCTGACAATGAACATTTAGGGCTTTTCTTGTAAATTCTATAACTTTGCAAAGAAAGATCGTCTAGAGCTGGGAGATTCTCATTTTAATCAGAATTTTGTGCGCTACAAACACGACTTATTAAGAAAAGTTTCGAAGATTTTCTGGAGTTTCTGGAAAAGTCTCGGGTGGTCTAGCAGCACATCTCATGTTTATATTTGGAACCAGCATGGCTGACTGCCTATAGTCTACTAGGTTCGGCCCGAAAGCGATTTATCAGTTGGGAACATTCTATCGAGAGTCTTAATTTAGTTTAGTTTTACAATCGCTTATCAGTTACTAGAGACTGAAAAACAGAATTCATTTCTGAAAGAATCAAAAGAAGGTACCACGACCAGTTTCGACCTTTCTCAAGAGTCAGTTTCTCTGAATTCTATTTTCAGTCTCTAGTAACAGATAAGTGTTATAAAACTAAACTAAATTAAAATAGTATCAAGTTGAGCATTTATATAAAAAAGAGTCTGAAGAAAAATCTTATTTTGTTGAATATCTAATTTATGCAAAACCATTTTAGTTTAATTTTATGTTTGATTGAAATAGTACAATATGTGCACTTTTGAAGAAATGAAGCCGAAGAAATTTGTCGAGGGAAAACTACTGCTTTTTCTCACTCTCTTCAGTGAACAAAAAACGTCATGACTTAAATTAAAAGACATCCAGTATTATTTAAAATTACGAAGAAAAAATGATTGCTTCTTTTTTCTTTTGAAAACTCGTAGATTATGTCACATTATTAAGATAAAAGAATATTTAACAGATGTCGAAGAGATTTAATGCTTTAATGAACTTTTTTTGTAAAATAAGCCAGAGTGATCCAAAATAAAACTAACTGACACTTCATGTCTAATAATTAATTTCCAGCTCCTTCCCAAAATATATGATACAGTTTATAGTTTATGACAAATGTGTTGTAACCTTAAACGTGGAAAAGCAGAGAATCAAAATCGAGAACTGACGGCTAGAGGCTGCTGAAAACGTTTTCAGCTTCAATGACAACGTTTGAATTTTTTCGAAGTTTTCATTGTGTTATTACTAAGCTTAAAATTCCTTTTAGAATGACGAGTTGACGAAGAATTAAAAGAATGTATACACAATTTTTTCATGAGAAAAGTAGCGGTAAAAAACCTTTTCAAAGTATTTCATCAACAACGGCAACGATTTTACGACTTACAGGTCTACCTATGTAGAGATATGAGTTAAGTTTGAGTAAGAAGCCTAGATTTTTTTGTTAAAACAAACTTTTTTCGATATACTAGAGAAATTGTTAATGTGAAATGTTTTTGTGTAATATCAAATATCTGTTTTCAAAAATGAGCTTGAACAAAGAGTTGCATGCCTTTTTCCAATAATATTATTGTTTTTATTTAGAACCGTTTGTTCAAGATTCTGTTTTTGAAGACTTTACGGATACAAAAATGAATCCCAATGAATTATCGAGTGCTCGTCGTAAAAAACGTAGTAGTAATATCGTCCATAATGCATTAATTGAACGACTACAACGACGAAAACGTGGTTTATCCAATTATGATTTATACGAAGATAATGTAAGAAAAATATAGTGAATATTAAAAAATATTTTTATTCAAATCATTCTCTTTTTTTCAGTTATTCGATTATGATCCATTATCTGATTTAGTCAATACTGATGGTTATACAAGATATGACCATACTTTGTATGTTTTCTTTAAAATAAAAATTATAATCTTAGAATGAATATATTTTCTATTTTAGCCCTCGTTATTGGCATCCAACAATGTATGAAAGAAATATTCGTTCTTCTGCTCCCCAATATGTTCCATTAAATCACATGTCCTCTTGGTTTCCTTATCAGTTTGTTAATAATGATGATAATGATGATGATGATGATAATGATGATGATGAAGATGATGAAGAGAACAATTACAATTACAATGATGGATTTTATCGAAGATATATTGATGATGATTCAAATTTAGCTTTCATAGGTAATAATGAGGATGATCAAGAAGAAGAATATAATCGATTTGGTTATCCAAAAGCAATGGTAAATCCCTACGATTTATCCTATCAAACCGATGATGAATTAGTAGCTGATACTGATAATGACGATGGTAACGACAACATTGACGATGATTTTAATATTGAGTATTACCAACGACCACATAAATATGTAAGTTACGTTAATCTTTAAAATTTTTCTATAACATATTTTCAAATATATTTCAACTCTTTTTTTCTTTTCTAGGACCGTTATAGGCCATTATTTTATATTTAAAGTATGAAAAAAATGACATAAATGTATGAATAACAATAATTTTCTTGTTTTTTTTCATTTCTAGGGATAACAAATAAGATCACTGGTTTTCTGTCTTATCTACTGAAGTTTAATGTAACCGATGATAGTGTTCTTTTTTTTTTCACTTTTTTTTCCTCTTTTTGAAAAACATATAATAAATCAAAAATAAATCCGTAAAACGTGAAACAATTCGTTTTTGGTAACTGTGTTATTTGTCATATCTCTAAATCATTTATTTACGCAAACATTTTTTTATTTAATTGTTGATGTTTCATTGTTTCCAAAAAAGACTCACTGTTGTTCACGTACTATTAAAAGAAAAACTTATTTATATTTATTACCTAAGCAGGTCAAAAACGACCGTTCGAATCCGTCAGAAATCAGCATATTTCAAATATTTTTCTACTGATTCTCTGATTATTTCTTAACATCCAGATATTTCCGGCTCCAGGATCTGATAATACTCACGGACTAAATCCGTGAAAATTCAAGAACCAATCGGAACTTCTCAATTTAAGGCAGGAAATTAGTCTATTTAATCAGAAATTTGTGAATTAAAATTATTTGTTCCATGTACAACTTGAGTTTTCACGCTTATAAGTATGTAATTTAGTCTTGTTTAGCAAGATATTGGAACATTTTTCTTGCTCATGAACCGTTCATAATGTGTTTTTCTCTCTGAAGAAACGTTTTTTCTGAAGCTAGATGACACACCATATTGATGTAACCAGCAGGCATGACTAACTGCAAACTCAGTCAAATGACAAAATGAGTACTCTGCAATTTTATTTCTGTATGTACCCTCTTCTTCTAAAGCATTCCGAATGGTGATTGTCATATGAAGAATTTTTGCTTCAAGTTTTTCACATTTTTTCCTGTTATGGATGATACTCAGCTTTTGTCTTATAATTTCATATTTCTTTTCAGAAGAAAAGACAAACAGATGGACATAATGGATACAAAGGGGAAATGAAGTAGGAATAATTGGGCAAGAGTGATGCCGTAATTTAGTGCGGATTTATGAGGGAAAATCCAATGATTTTGTCTAAGATCCAATAGTATTCGATTCTATTGTGGTGAAAGATTCTGAGCGATGTTGTAGAAATCTGACATACAGAAGTCGTCGTAGCCAGCGCGATTTCTGCTTATACAAATTCGTCGTATTTCGACGCTTCACCGGCTGGATTCGTGTAGATTTACTCGGCAACCTGATCTGACGATTTTCTAGTTCAATCCAGAAGTTTCTGACAAGATCCGGTGGTTGAATTTCCTGACCTGGTTAGACATGCCAGAATATGAATTCGAAAAAACAAATCCACTCAGCTGAGTAAATAGCCCGACGACCTTCGCCAACTTTTTGTTTAATATTCGAATAACTTATTCAACAACTAACATAGATGATTTTCAAGCAAAACGTTTGTCTTCTTCTTAAGAGAAACCTTTCCCTTTTTTTTAGAGAAAATCATCATGATTCGTCCTAACATGGTTACGTTATTATCTCCATAACATTTGATTTGATCTATCTATTTCCCAGGAGTAGTAGAATTTTTGCTTTTGTTTTATCATCTTTTCTTTTCGAATTACAAGAATTTTAAAATTGAACAGCTCCGCTTAAAAAAAAATGTGCCAGACAGTGTACAAATTCATCCATAGTGGTGTGCAACCGGCACACTTTTTTTGTACAGTGTGAAAGACGTTTTTCAATGTTTTTGCTATAAGTCGGAAAGGAAACATCATAAGACAAAAACAAAACAATCTACTCCTGGCGAATATTGTTTGACATTGATAGTAAAATTTCAAAGCTGATCGGACAAAGTTATCGGGGAGTCGAAATGGAATAACGTGAAAAACCGAGTGTTTTAGAAAACTCGGGAATCTTGGTAGCCGGAGACAAACAAAAAAGATACTTATGAGGAAAGGTTTTTCAGATGATAAATCGCTTTTTCCCTGAGATTATCTCTTGGTTCGATTAGTAACTGTCGATCTGTCTGGCTTGTAAAGCATGTCAAGTTACCTATGTAGATAAGTCTTTCTATCTGTCGAACACTTCCTGATAACGCTATGAAGTTTTTTAGTCTGTATTTACTTTTCTTCGATAGTAATAGATTTTAAAAACATATTAATGCATCTTGGTGTAAAACATTGTCTACATAGATAACTCAAAGAAAAAGCGATTTATCTGAAAACGTTCCCTTGTTAGTTGAGTTTTAAATTAATCCTAATAAGCTTTGGTCGATTTTAGTTTATGTTTGGCAATACATCTACAGAAAGTCCTGAAAGGGGGAAAAATATACCCTTAAGAGCGGCCCTTTTGAAGTATGAAACTAATAAAAATTTTCAAAACTGAATTTGACATGGTCTGTACAGAATCAACTGTTCTCTTCAAAATGGGAACAGAGCTATCTTGATTCTAAAGTATATTTCTATCGTGAGTTATAAATTCAAGGAGATGTAAAGGAGAGGTGAAAAACTTGAAATATTGATACTATAATTTCTTTTGAGACACTACTTAGAATTCAATTATGAAGTCTTTGTGAGTATTATAAAACGAATACAACATCATCTTCCTTCTCACAGCAAAATCTAAACAAATTTATCCATTACATGTCTCATAATTGAAGGCTAATTTAAACCAACATTCTATTGTATTCGTTAAAAAGTTTCATTTTTGGACACTGGAAACCAAAATTTTTTATTTTAGTGCGTATAACAACCATCGGCTATCTCACAGAAAGCACTTGGTTCTTTTTCTTCTTTTATGTATTTAGGTGTGAAATCATTTATGCCCTGGTTACTTTTACTTTCAAAATAAAAACTTCTTTTCTGCTCTCAAGGCATTCGTACAGATATATATAACCTTTCTTTTCTCCATACTTCAGTGCACACCTGTAAATCAAGTCTTTTCTTTTCCGTTAGTTAACGGTTATCAATAAATAGATAATTTTCAGAGATATTTTGAAATATAAATAACTTCAACTGTTTTATATCGTAAATATTCTATTCAGTCTATTTGTTAGTTACCCGAAATGATTAATAGTAATCATTGTTGTTGTTGTTCAATAAGAATATTTTGCTTTATTTATTTACTGATTAATTTTGTTGGTACTCAAACAACGAGAAAAATTATCAACGAATCATTTTCAACAAATTCCACGACAAAATTACCAGTAGTCGTTAATAATTCTCCATCATATATTCAATTATGTATAAAATGTGACACACGTGACGGATTTGAAGCATATGAACGTCGTTCTATCATTGTTATGGTTGTATTAACGGGTGTAGCATTAATTCTCTGTGTAACTGGTGTTCTAATATTTACTATAAGAGATCGAGCACAATATTTGAAACGACATCCGAAACCTATCGCTGAAGAAATAAAAAACGTTCAAGAAAATAATAATGCGTATGAAGACGATAATGTAGATGAGTTACCCGTTCGTTCTAATTCGATGCAAATTTGAATTCACTATCCGTTTTTGATTAAAGATGAATCGAATGAAACAAAACTCATCTTATGTCAACGCTAGAATGAGAGATAACCTAACTGTACAGGACCATGATAGTATCATTCGTATATATGATACCATGTAATTACAAAAAGTTTTTTTGCGTGATCATGCAAAAAAGAATGCAAAACGTAAGTGGCCTAACGCAAAAAATGGTTACAAAAGCGAAATTGTGCAAAATTTTGCATATTCTTCTACTGTAGAACAAAATATTTACAAAATTTTGTATTAAAATCAAATATAATATAACATAATACAAAATAACATTTTGTTCTAGAAGAGTATGCAAAATTTTGCACAATTTCGCTTCTGTAACCAGTTTTTGCGTTATTCACTTGATTAACGCAAAAAAATTTTTGATTTTGGCGACATGTTCACATACTTTTGAGAGAAATCGAAATTGATTTCAAAGTATATATCATCTCCTGTTCTTTACATACAAGCACTAGATGCAAAGCAAAATTGATGCCTCTGCCTGTAACGTCTTAAAATAAGATCTTTATCATCAGCCTTACCAGACGATGGTTTGAGTTCTTCTCAGATACAATCCATAATTTAATCAAGTATCTCAGTTGACCTATTACGAATAAGACAGATACATTGTTCGTTTTAAACAAAGGCGGTAGAATAGTTCCATTTATCTTTATGCAGCCATACTCTACTTTTGTAGGGCAGATACATGCATGGCTAGCGAGGGACCTTTTCCAACTATCTAATCGCTTTCTGGTTGAAAGCTAGTAGGTTATAGGCTATCGACCACGCTGATTCCGAATATCCATATGAGACGGGCCTCTAGACTTTCCCAGAGTGATTTTCTGGAAAATTGGTTTTATAGTCACCTCGAAAAGTCCATAAGACTTTCTCTTCATAGATCACGATTGTAGCCCACGAACTTCTGACCAAAATGAGACGTATCCCACCTCTACATAACCTTTCTTTGCAAAGTTATAGAATTTACAAGAAAAGCCCTAAATGGTCATTGTCAGCTCAAAGCTACAGAAATAAGAAGTTAATTTAGGGCTTTTCTTGTAAATTCTATAACTTTGCAAAGAAAGGTTATGTAGAGGTGGGATACGTCTCATTTTGATCAGAAGTTCGTGGGCTATAATCGTGATCTATGAAGAGAAAGTTTTATGGATTTTTCGAGGTGGCTAGAAAACCAATTTTCCAGAAAATCGCTCTGGGAAGGTCTAGAGGCCTGTCTCATATGGATATTCGGAATCAGCGTGGTCGATAGCCTATAACCTACTAGGTTTCAACCAGAAAGCGATTAGACAGTTGGAAAAGGTCCCTCGTAGGTTATATATCCAGATCTGACCTAGCAAAAGTGAACTTAGACCTATGAACCTGGACTTGAAAAAGTGAATATGAACTTGGACCTGTGATCTAAAGTCTTAGATTTGTATTTAAATGTGTGTATGTAGTGCAATAGATCATAGAAGACATCCGCAATTTTCTACACAGATGATTGAGTAAATTTAGTGAAATCTGCACGAATAAAATATTTTACAATAGATTTCAGCGACAAGAAAGTCTATGAATGTTGAACCTTTAATTTGGAACACTGGGAGCTACAGAGTACATCGGGACGAGCTTATGTCATTGACTATATCCAACATTGTGAAACTGTTTATTTCATATACATTTTCTTCATTGAAAAGTACGAGAATAATATGAAAACTCGTAATAACCCTATTATCTATAGAGATTTTTGTTCAATATATCTATCTATCTCGTGCTTCTCACATATTCTAAAAATTCTCCTTGAACTCTAGTACCGAATATTGCAACTTCACATTATTCTTAGAATTTTTTCACACAATGGATCTAACGTCCAGATCACAAGTTCAAGTCATAGGTCCAGGTTCAGGTGAGATCCAAGTCTAGGTCTGTTGTTTTCAAGCTCAGGTCCGCAGATCACGGTCCAATTCTATAGGTCAGGACCAGGTCCGAGACAAAATTGTTCGTTTCATCGAATAGCAGTAAACGACCTAAACGTCAGACTTTCTCGATTCTTCTACAAATTTTGACCTTGTCCTGTGCAGGTCACATGTCCAGGTATCCTGTCTCTGACTTGACGAGTACGTACTACCTAGACAAGAACTTGGAAAGTAAAAACACGCCTTGGCAGTTCTTGTTTAAGTATTTACTAAGCGAGGAAACTTGTCAAGTACTGCCCAAGTACTCGTCAAGTAATCACTTGTCGTCAAGTATGTGCATCAAGTACATTTCCTAGGAGTGTTCTCAACATGAGTAAAAAGTGACTAAAAGAGTCAGATAAAAACAAACTTTTACAAAAGAAATGAATATCATACATATAGCGCCAAGAGTATAAAATGACTATCATTCTTGTTAAATTTTAGTGTGCTAATTGTGTCTGTTAAATTAAGAAAAAGCTGTAGTTGATGCGTATATCTCCCTTTTTCTATACTATTTATTTGTTGGTGTGTTGAACATAATTTTCTAAGTCCAACATTTTCAGATTTCTGACATTTTCTTATCAATGACTGTTGTCAAGGCTTATGGCACATGCATACATACCTGCAACGTGATATGCTAAAACTGTTTTACTGACCGACGGTGATAATAGTATATCAGAAATGAAAGAAGATTTAATAAATTCCGCTTTGTTATCAATGAATTGTAATCAGCTACAATTCATATCATCGAAGCCATCTACATTTCGTCCATCGAATCAATCACGTTCATTCATCTATCAATTACCCGATATTGTTGTACAACGAAAACGTCACCGTCGTTTACCCTATGCCGAACATTTCAATGGTATTCTATTGTTTTCCGATGTTAGTGGCTTTACTGAAATGTGTCAGAAGTATAGTACAAATATTGACAAAGGTGTTAATCAATTAGCATCATCATTAAACGAATATTTAGCACCCATAGTCGAAGCAATATTACGAGAAAATGGTGATATTTACAAGTTTGCTGGTGATGCTGTACTCGGTAAGAGAAATCTTATTCTAAAGAGCATAAGAGAAATACTCAAATATATGTTTGTTTAGCATTATGGCCATTTAAAAATGATACAATTGAACATAAACGTGAACAAGCCCAACATGTTTTATCGTGTGCATTGCACATGAAACGTATGTATTGTGATTATCCGACATCGATTGGTACCATACTGAATATTAAGAGTGCCATTGCAACGGGACCATTTTCGATGTTTTTTCTACGTGGTATTACTCCACAATGTGCACAATTATTATCAGAAAATCCAAATACCACTATTACAAAATCAAGTATAAGAAATTTAAATGTTTCATCAATAGCAGCAAGAAATCAATCAGCATTTATGGGAACACTATCGAATAAACAATTGACTGAACAATGTCGTGTGAGTAGTCTGATTATTATTCGATCATGTTGATGATCTTAAATAATCAATTGCTAATCATTTTCTAAATTTTTTAATCGTAGTCCTAGAGTAAAGTAACTTCTCAATAATGTGTATGATTTGTGAATGTTCTAGTCAGCTCTCATCAATTACTATGTATGCTATGGTGATGGTGTAAAAATGGTGAACAAATGTCAATATCAATGTGGTAGTCAGGATATTATTATGGATGTAACAACATGGGATATTCTCGGTATGCAACACGACCATTTCCGAATATTATACGTACTATATTTGCTGATAGATTTTTTCTGATAGATGCTGCCTCCGATTATTATTTTAAAAAATTTATTATTCCAGTTGAAATTGATGATGATCAATTTCAAGATGAACAAATTCATGTGACACACTTCACTCCATCACATAATGGTGATGAGATTACGCATGGTTCTCTACTAAATTCAACAACTGTTCAACAACACCGTCTGCCACCATTGCCACTTCCAATCAAATCAACAAATTTTGGTATTATGCAAAAGAGAACAATGGTAGAAACCTACATTCGAATACAAGGCAAAAAAGATGAAGATGATACTCAATTAATACGACCAACAGATGTTGACTTATCAATTTTTCATCAGACAGACGATCGATTAGAAGAGATGAGTAAATATTTTTGGATTATAACTAAAATCTGAAATTCATCGTACTTTTAATTTAGATTCATCTATAAAACTAATACAACAACAACGTAATATTCTTTCATCGTCCTCATTAAGCAATCGATCACCTCAACGACAGACACAACAGAAACGAGATGAATCAACAAAAACATCTTTTAGCTTAAACTCAAAATCTGCTATATTATCCAGGCATATTGCTAATCATTATGGTCGTGAAAGTACAACATCGAAACGTTTGTACACCGAAGAACAAATGAGAGCTTTGAGATCAACAGCATTCATAGACTTAAGTTCGTTTAAACAACATGTATAGTTTCTGAAAAAAAGATTTCAATTAAAAAATTTTTATTTTTTTAAAATTTAGATCATTTTGATTCGTACGATTTGAGTACATTTATAATTAAACCTGTTAAAGATCGTATTTTAGATCAAGACTCACTGGATCATCTATCTGAATTACGATTAATCAATATTGTTTTTATACAAATATTATTGGCCGATAGTGAAAAAGCATTACCAACTAAACTTCAAACAATTGTCGATTGTTCAACTGAACAAATATCAATTACAAATGGAATTTTGACAAAAATATTTATGTTTGATAAAGGTTTAAGTTTATTATGTGCATTTGGTTTACCAGGTTATAAACATCCGGATGATGCTGAAAGAGCATTAAAATTTGGATTTTTACTTTCACAACGGTTAGGTACGTGATGTACATATTCAACGGCTTGTCTAGCTAACCGACTCCTTTTTTCGCTCTTTTTCAAAGAACTATGGCAATAAAGTTAGAAAATAATCTAAAATTACAACTAGATAACTAAATAGATTAAACATTTTTCTATAAAATGAAAAGTGTCTCGGTACTGAACGTTGATTCGTTATGAAAATACAGCTGTTGTATAAACAGCCCCCAAAATCGATTTTGGAGCTATCTGAAAAACGTGTCTG